TAAGGATATTGTCTAAGACTTAGCTCGGTTCGCGCATGTCGCTCTCATCTCTTTTTTTTTCAGACTAGCTATCTCGCTTTCTCCATCTGATCATTCCCTTGTATCTCTTATCCTTAGATTAGATTCTCTGTTCTTGATTAATTCATACGAAACCGTCACGAGGGCGCGATATCCAACTATAATGAGATATTCATCAGAGCGGTCTCCTGTCGACGATCCAACGCGATCATTTCGGAAAGGCTCTACTTTAACAGTATTGAAAACGGGTTGTACGTATTGCTCTCCTTTTATATAAATAGTTGTGTCAGGGCGCAACAGTAATAGAATAGAATCACACTGAAATGTATTAATTTATATACATACAATACATACAATACATACAATACAATTTAAATGCGTACAATATTTTTGGTACATTTCTTCGAAAAATTAAAATTACGGAATACAATATCCTTTCTGAAATTACCGATTCAATAGCGAATGAATTAATTTTCCAGTGCGTTATGAGGGAAAATGCAAGAATATCGTCTTGCGTTCAAGAACGATTCGATTCTGAAGAATTAATTATTCCAACGAGATTTTACGATAGCACAGATTTCATTTCGTATAGCTAGAAATTTTTTAAAAAGACTTAAAAAGACGAAAAGAGCCTCTTCAGGAGATTTGTGCTTCCACAATCAATCGTTAGCGCGGATCCCCTTTATTATCCCCATTAGTCTCGCGTACATTGCACGAGAAAACGGCAAAACGAACCAACTCCCTTTTCTTTCCCCTGTTGCAGTATCAATTCTTCAACAGACAGCCTCCAGCACGAAGTGCACGAAGTGCCAAACGCCACTAAACAAAGATCGGACAAGATCGCGGTAGTTGTGGAGTCTCTAACTAGCGCGCATCGATCCACTCGCACACTCGGACAATCGTAAAGGAATAATGAGGAATCACAGAGAGACTCCCTCATAAAGACATCTCGGCAAATGGTACGGTGGCAATTTTCCCTTACTTAATTTAACTTTAAAATCTTAAAGGCAAAACTTTTCAAAATTGCGATACGATTCACGTTCGATTTCAAACACTTTCTAAGAAATCGACTGATTCAAATCGTAATCGTATATCGTAATTCTGGAAAGTTTCGCGCTTTTGAAATCCAATTAAGAAGGGAGAATTGGCACTCGCAACCCATATAGAACATGTACTATACATATATAGTACATGTACTATATATTCTTTGCAGCGGTACAAGGTCGCGGAATCGATGTAGATTAATATTCGTATCCGCTTGTAATGCCGCAAATGATACCCTAGTCACCACCACCTAGCATTAGGGATATGCGGTTTTTGAGAATATGCGTAATAATGCGTGGATATGCTTCGTATCAAACATACGAAGCATATCAGAAGTCGCTTACCGATTCTCAAAAAAATTTAATTAAATATTACAATACTAATTATTAGTACTACAGGGTGCGTCAGCTAAATCCGGACAAAACAAATTTTTGTTTTGTCCGGATAAACACTCTTTAGAATCAGTAAAAACCAGCCATTCCTTTATATGTGTATTTTATATGTGTATTTGATAATTATTTGTTTTTTTAGAAGGGCATATTCTTTATATTTATTTTCGTACATTCAACATGGTGACATATATATTGAGGAAAAAATTAATTTTAAATTCTAATTTAATTTTGTCCGGATTTGGCTGACGCACCCTGAAATATTAACATATCAATGTTAGTACTAAAAAAAGTTAACAGAAAAAAATTATAAGAACGAAAGCGCGGATGTTGAGGCGCAAAAAAATTTATTTTAATTGTTAATAATTGATAATATAATAAATATTAGTTGCGCCTTGACACCCTTTGACGCTTTGGTTTTTATAACCTTTTTCTATTAACATTTGTTGTTGTTATAAAATCATGTACTAATGCTAATAATATGCAGGGTATTCCAAACTAACCGTATCATCAGTTCATAACAGATTTCTGAAGTTATTTTGAGACTAAAATTCTTATATTAAAATGTCGAAGCTACAGTAATTTTTAAAATGTTAAATAGATTGTTTAAAATAGAATGCAAAATGTTTAAAATAGACCGTCATCTTGATTTTTATATCCTCATTATATTAGAATCCTCAGAAATTCCATGACATTTTGATATAAAGATTTTCATCTCCCAAATAATCTTAGGAATTTGCTAATTGGATACGGTTGATCTGAGATATCTTGCATATATATATATATATATATCTATATATCAATATATACACATATGTGTGCGTGAT